TATCTTGGAATTCCGTCTTTCCAAGATAACATATCTTGGAAAGACGTCTTTCCAAGATAATTTATCTTGGACTTCCGTCTTTTCCAAGACACGTTATCTTGGAATTCCGTCTTTCCAAGATAAATTATACTGGAAAGACGGAATTCCAAGATAAATTATCTTGGAAAGACGTGTTTCCAAGATACATTATCTTGGAATTCCGTCTTTCCAAGATAAATTATCTTGGAATTCCGTCTTTCCAAGATAAATTATCACGGAAATCCGTCTTTCCGAGATAAATTATCTCGGAAATACGTCTTAATAAGTGTTTATTCCATGTTTCCATGATAATTATCTTGGAAACTCGGAAACGCGGAAGGTCACTTTAAGCTTCCGTACTTTAAGCTTCCGTAATTTATCATAAAATATTACCATTTTCTCGACGAATTCATCGTTAACTAGGCAAACAGAGGTTGTAGATCGCATCCAATGGAATACTCTCGCTTTTATATATACTTTATACAGTCAATAAAGTGCGCCCTCTCTAATGAGATTAGTTTTTGTACTTCGCATCTCGCACAATGCGGTCGTTCGATTAGGCTGAGATGTTTGTTTAAGTGTCAAAATCTCAGTCAGAATAAGTTTTTTAACAAATTTGAAATAATTCCTATGAAATATTATATTTAACAAGTGTCAATACTAGCAACGGAAACTATCATGTCGGCCGTTTTTATTTGTGATAACAGAACTAAATCGAGGTAAGGCTAGGCCTAGCTTAGCAGCGTTGGAGGATAGGCTAATGTTTTCAGCGCCTACCTCACGACCTATCAAACATGAAAAATTCATCCGCATTTATTTTTTGTGTGGAACGCAAGAAATCAAATTTCAGTCTTATTTTACATTTTTTTCATTCTTAGGAATGTCTAAATTCAGTTAAACTAGCAATTTCGTATTATATTTATAAATCTTTATAACATTATACAAAAATTAGATTTTTCTTAACTGAAATTTTGTTATTTTATATTATTATTATTACTGTATTATTTAATATTATTATTATTGTCATTATTATTGTTATTATTATTATTATTATTATTATTATTATTATTATTATTATTATTATTTCTGATCCAACCTTCCATCTCAGTAAACCTTGACGTATTGTTCTCCATGTTGTGTCCATGGAATTAGTGAAGAACAGCATTAATATTTTGTATTTAAATTTTACTGTTCCATTTTTAATTTTCCATGGTTAAAAAATATATATGACTATTATTTAATATTATTATTATTATTTAATATTATTATTATTATCATTATTATTGTTATTATTATTATTATTTATTATTATTATTATTATTTCTGATCCAACTTTCCATTTCAGTAAACCTTGACGGGGGTCCCCCCAGTCTCCAGACGAACCCCTACTCCTCACTAAGTGGCCTGGGATATGACTATGAGACTATTATTATTATTATTATTTAATATTATTATTATTATTATCATTATTATTATTATTATTATTATTATTATTATTATTTATCATTATTATTATTTCTGATCCAACCTTCCATCCCAGTAAACCTTGACGGGGGCCCTCCCAGTCTCCAGATGAACCCCTACTCCTCACTGAGTGTCCAAGGATATGACTATGAGACTTCACATAAATTTATTTACTTGTCCATCCAAACTTCTTTTTTTCTACACACCCTACCTACCCTGGCACTGCCACTGCTCTCTGATGATTTCTGCTAGATTCAATTTAATTCAATTCAATTTAATTTCTTTCATATTGCCAGTGGGCCATCCACACAACATAATTACATGACAGAAAACAAGTGACAATGTAATATTGTCTACTAGAACGTCACTCCAATAATGCCTTATGACCAGTATACCCCACCCTACTGAAGTATACATCGCTGGTAGGAACATTCCACAAAGGACCTAATGACCTGCATACACCACCAAATATGATTGCTTTAATTACTATTTTACATTATTTGTATATTAATTATATTGATTTATAGTCATTGAATGTTGATGTTAAATCACTTTTATTTCAGTTCATATGAAATATATTCATACAAAAAATATTGCAATTATTTTTATTTTTATGATACAAGCAATTAAAAAAATTAAAGTAATTACTGATTAAAAAAAAAAAAAATACTTCTCCCGAGGTTACATCTTTAATAGTGATGAACCGGGCGAGAGAGAATCAAGCAGAAAAAAATTACTTTTGTTTGTATTCCTACCAACTCATTCAGTTTAATTGTATTATTATTTCATATTATTAATGTTTAAAAATTAAGAATAAGAGTGGATTTCCTTTGAATGTTGATTAATATGATCATATGACTGTCATTTATTGAGTCACTCTCTTTGTTTCCAATGTGTTACAGTGGCAAGAGACTCCACTTCACAAGCTGTTAAAAGCCAAACATATATTCAGAGATCATCTTGACATTGCAAGACTTCTTTTGGATGCCGGGGCTAATGTACATATAGAGAATAAGGTAAAATATACAAGATATATAGTGGAGTAAATAATGTCATTCAAATTTGTATGAATA